TCAAGTCCCACTTCTGTCACTTACTAGAAGCATAGCCTGGCTTGCTATTGAACCTCTCTCAGCCTCCTTTTCCTCCTTTTTCAGTGAAGACAGTGATGCCTATTTCACAAGAATATTGTGATGATTGCATGAGAAGATGTTTACAAAGCACCTCACAAAATATGTAGTCAACAAATGCTGGTTGTCACCTCTGTTCTGTCAGCGTTGGTGGAGTGCTGGTACTCTCAGTTCACTGGGAGTTTTGAGGACAGGAATAGAAGAGAATCAGAACAATGTTCTGAGTGTTTTCCCTGGAACTGGCATTGTGTTAAGATCCTACAAATGGGAGACATGTGTCCCCTGGTCTCATACCTGGAATATCAAAATAATACTTCATCAACAGTGTCAAAACAAAAGTCTGATGGCTCTGCCTGCTCTTGTGAGTAGGGGTACTCATATTCCCTTTAAGCCTTTCCCCCAATTTGGCCTAGAGGCCTGGGGGTTCCGCATGGGCTCAAGAACGTTCTCTTCTTAACTCTCCCCTCATGTCAACAGCTTCCTCCTCTCAAGGTTGACATCTTGTCCTGTTTCTTCCTGTTCTAGGTGTGGCGAAGTCTAGTTTGCTGTTTAGTCTCTCTCTCCCTCTCCTGGATGTTGACTCCTGTTTCTTCCTGTTCTAGGTGTGGCGAAGTCAGTTTGCTGTTTAGTCTCTCTCTCCCTCTCCTGGATGTTGACTCCTGTTTCTTCCTGTTCTAGGTGTGGCGAAGTCAGTTTGCTGTTTAGTCTCTCTCTCCCTCTCCTGGATGTTGACTCCTGTTTCTTCCTGTTCTAGGTGTGGCGAAGTCTAGTTTGCTGTTTAGTCTCTCTCTCCCTCTCCTGGATGTTGACTCCTGTTTCTTCCTGTTCTAGGTGTGGCGAAGTCAGTTTGCTCTTTAGTCTCTCTCTCCCTCTCCTGGATGTTGACTCCTGTTTCTTCCTGTTCTAGGTGTGGCGAAGTCAGTTTGCTCTTTAGTCTCTCTCTCCCTCTCCTGGATGTTGACTCTTCAATTCTCTATCCCTAGTAGCTTCCCACACTGCCTGTAAAATGGAGTGCAGAACCACTACACAGAAACAGGAAGATTCCGCCCTGTACTCTCAGGTCCTGAAAACACAATCACAAGCAGGCTGTTTTTTGTTTGCTTGTTTGTTTGTGACAGAGTGTCACTCTTGTTCACCAGGCTGGAGTGCAGTGGTGTGATCTCAGCTCACTGCAACCTCCACCTCACGGGTTCAAGCAATTCTCTTGCCTCGGCCTCCTGAGTAGCTGGGATTACAGGCACCCGCCACCATACCCAGCTAAGTTTGTATTTTTAGTAGAGACGAGGTTTCACCATGTTGGTCAGGCTGGTCTCAAACTCCTTTCCTCAGGTGATCCGCCCACTTTGGCCTTGCAAAATGCTGGAATTACAGGCATGAGCCACTGTGCCCACCCCATTTTTAAATTCTCATTGTGTCCATGCCCTTACACATTTCACATGAATCATATCACATAACCCTGACAATAAACTACAAAGTAAGCAACTAATTATCCCCATTTTAATATTTTTTAAAACCTAGGAAGGTAACTTAATCTCTTTGACTTCCAGATCTCATGAAACGTTAGAGATTCAATATTTGAACCAGAGGTGATGGTTTTTTAAATATGTTTGCTAGGTATCAAAATGAATGCATGGAATTTGATGTATGTACATAGGTAGGCATAGAAATAGATACAGATGCTCGTGAGTATGTGTACGTGAGCATATGAATATGTTTGTATGTATATCCATGTATCCACTTCCCAGCTCTGTCTTTTGAGAGGATCTAGAAACAATGCTGCCCCAGTAACAATAAATACCCTTGTGCCCAGATCTTGATTTCTACATAACCATTCTCTGCTAGAAGGAACCCAGGTCTCCTTGGAAAAATAGCTGACTCCAAGTCTTGGACAGAAAATATACAAAATGAGTCTGACGTCTCTTGTGTTGAAAAGTAACTAACTACTCAAAGAATAATGACAGCATGTCAAAGGACACAGGAACCAATTTAAAAGGCTCCCACTAACCAAATCTAAGGCAACCTAAACGTCATGGTAAGTTAGTATAATAAGTATGGATACCCTCTGAGAGATTTGAGGGCAGGGACAATCTTCGAAGACAATAGAAAACAGTGTCCTGAGTTGCCCTTAGACTGAGCACTGTGTTAATATCCTACAAATGGAACACATGTTTCCTCAGGTCCCATACCTGGAATGTCAAAATAGTATTTCATTAACAGTGTCAAGTAAAGGATTATAACCTATTATAAAAACCAAAGCCCCAGGCTGGGCATGGTGGCTCATACCTGTAAATTCCAGCACTTTGGGAGGCTGAGGTGGGAGGACTGTTTGAGCCCAGGAGCTTGAGATGAGCCTGGGCAGCACAGGGAGACCCTGTCACTACAAAAATAAAAGAAAAAATACCTTGGCATGGTGGCATATGCTTGTGGTCCCAGCTACTTGGAAGGCTAAGTGGGAGGATTGCTTGGGCCCTGGAGTCCAGGTCACAGCGATCTGTGATCACACCACTGTACTCCAGCCTGGACAACATAGTGAGACCCTGTCTCAAAAACAAGCAAAACTAGAAACCCAAGATTCTATGCTGATGTAAATAAATATATAAACAAATATTCTTCCTTACAGTGGAAAACCAACAATAAATTTAGAAAGATGGTAAATTTTTTTAAAAAAACACTGTTTGACAATCACAGTAATAACTGATTCAGGTAAGGGTCACTAATAAATGCTAAAAGCAATGAGTACAAATTTGAGAAATAATAGGATATTTTCATAGTCTCAAAACACTTCTCCAAAGGAAATACTTAGTAATTAGAAGGGGTAAAACAGTGGACAGCACGATAACCCCATGAGCAAAGTTAACATTGCTAGTGATGGAACTAATTGACAGCACCTGCCCCCCACGCGATGTGCTGGAGGAGCTCAGCATGGCATCTGTGATATTCCTGCCCAATGTGCATGACAGAATCTAATCACAGAAAAGCACCCAAGATCCCGAGCTGAAGGACGATTCTACCAGGTAAGTGGCCAGGTAATCTTCACAATGGTCAGTGTCATGAAAGACAAAGCGGCAGAAACTTTCAAATCACAGGAGGCAGCTAAATGCAACACATGGTCTTGGGTTGTTTTGTTATAAAGGACGTTATCATGAAGTCTGAATAAAGTCTGTAGATTAGATGAGAGAATTCCTTGTTTTTAGGAAATACGCAACAAAATATTCAAGGGTAAATAGGCATCACATCTTAGATGACTCGGAAGATAAAGGGAAGAACAGAGGTAAGTGATACAGTGAAATATTGATGTTGGGGGATCTGGGCAAACAATATTTAGGAATTCTTTGTACCGTGTCGCAAGGTTTCTATAAGTCTGAAACAATGTGAGGACAAGTTATTAAAAATAAAGCATAAAATGTAAAACATCTCTTCTGCAAATTCTTTGGCACTCTTCCCACAAAGAAGTAAAGTCTAATTCCCTCCCCTTGAATATCCTTTGGACTTAGTGACTCACTTCTAACAAATGAATATGGTTTATGGAGGTCTGGTAATAAAAGAAGATTCAGCATCTATCAGAATAAGGAAGTTCTGTGCTTTGTGTTATGCACACTCTGTGCAGTTAGTGTGCCCATTGCTCAGATAAGGAAGCTGGAGCTCAGAAAGCTGCCCAGATTCAAATGACTAAAAATGGTGGAGCCAAAATTCAACCTCAGGGCGGTGGAGCCTCCAATTCCAGGCAAGTGGCCTTGTGGACAGGTAGCTGGGACCTGGAGTGTGGACAGGTAGCTGGGACCTGGAGTGTGTCCACCTGGTCACGGCCTCTCAAGGGTTGCAACATGAGTGTTGGGGGCTGGATAATACTCTGTGCACCATAGGTTGTTTAACAACATCTTTGGCCTCTACTTACAAGATGGCAGGAGTACCTGACACCCAGTCGTGACAACTAAAATGGTCTCCAGACATTGCCAAATGTCTGAAGGGCGCAGGGTGCAAAATTCTCTCTGTTGAGAACCGCTGACCTTGAGGTAAACCCTGGTTCCACTGCTTACTTGTCACATGACTTTGGACAAACAACTCTTCAAGTTCCTCTGTGCCCCCGTGTCCTCATCTGTAAAACGGGAAGACAAAACATGTGAGGTTAATGTGAAGAATAAATAAGAATCCAGGAAAGCACTTGGCCCATCATGTAAGAGCTACTTTGCCCATAACCCTAGGGTGCCTTCCTTCCAAACACAAAGCTATTCACAGAGCAGGTACACAATGAAGAGCTGCTGTGGTGTGGCTGTAGGGATGAATCAATTAACCATTTCAGTAATAAATGAACAAAAAACTGAATGTTCTGATCTGTGCACTAGTGCATTTGCTGACTGAAGAAGTTCTGGCATCCTCTGTCACCATCAAAGAGCAGTTAGGATTGAAGACTCTGTGGCCAGGCTACCTGGATTCAAGTTCATCTCTGCCACTCAGGAGGTATGTGACCCCAGGCTGGTTATTTAGCCTGGCAATGCCTTCATTTCCTTATCTATAAAAAATGGAGTAATAAGAGTGTATTAATAAGAATGAATATACGTGTTGTACCCAGCACAGGCTGGGTCTCCATCATGCCTGCTGTGGTTGCATGGCAATTAACGTTAATCCTATCACACTCCTCTTTTATGGACCTCCAGCCACACTCCTCCAAGGGTGCCAGGAACAAGCCCATTTCCAAGCCTTTGCACTTGCCACTCCCTCTGCCTGGATTACTGTCCCTCCCAGACATTAGCAGCCCTCCAACTCTTACCCAGTCAAGGTCTCTCTTCATGTGGCTCTTTGGAAAGGTCCCCCCCCACCCCAACCTCCATAAATAAAACAGCAGCTTCACCACCCTATTCACCCTGGGTTTTTTGCAACAAAGCAATATCCTCTGCCTGGCATTATCTATCCTGGTCAATACAGCACAGTGCAATGCGGCGCAGTATAGTGGGGCAATCTTTATTGGCTTATCTCTCCACTGACTCACATAAATGTTCCAAGACAGCAGAGAATTTGATTGACAACTATATTCCCAGCATCTAGAACAGTGCCTAGTGCATAGTACATAATTATAAGGAATGGTGAATGATATTTTACAGAAGGGAATTCCAAAGTCTTCACATAATCCGTTTTCCATAACACAGGACTTATCTAAACTGGAGCCTACGACAGTGTTTTTCACAAAAGATTTTGGTTATGACAACCCATGCTTTAGAACAGAGTATTGTAAAGACTTCCCGATAGGTTAGATTTGAGTTTCTCAAACCATGACTGTGGACTCCAGAGAGACAGTAATAGGAATTCCACCAAACAAGGTTCACAAGGTGAACAGCAGTGGGAGATAATACAGAGCCTTGCCCCACTGGAGGGTGCATCATGCACAGGAGAAGCTCTAAGAGGTCCTGTTAAGAAGACAGATATTGAACCTGGGTTTGCTGAACTTATTTCACCTGAGACCCCATCCATTAACACCTGCATCACAAAGCACAATTTGGTAAACAGTGATCTAGCAAAAGTCTTTCCATTTACAGACACAGACAGAAAATGAGTCCCAGAAAGGTTAATTGACTCACTCAAGGTCATGTGGCAGTCTCCTGAATCCTAGGGTAGTGTGCTTTTCACTGCCCCCAATGTTGCCTAATGGTTTGCTTAGCTATCCACTCACAGGAGGTCAGAAACTGAACACAGACCTCAGGTTCCAGTATTATTTTGACTAAATTACATATAAAAATTGATGTACTGAGTAGGATTTGCTTTCAACCTCACTGTCCCAGAAATAGTCATTCATTCAACAAATATTTATTAAGTGTTATATGCCGGGAACTGCACATTTTGCAGTGATCAAGATATGGTTGCCCAGAAGACTGACAATGAAATTATCCTTAAAGAGATCAAAATTGATTGAACTGTCCTTGATAAAACTGCTTCAAAGCAGGGACTCGTAAGAAATTACATATTCACATTTCATTTGCTTCCATTAACGGCACTCATATTTAGATCTGATGTTAATAACATGCTCTCAACCGGTGTGGGTCTGGAATCAAACACTCCCCTTGACTGTGACTGTGCACACGGCAGAGAGGAAAAACAAAATGATTGGAGTTAGTTGGGCTCTTCTATTGAGCACCTAGACCTACAGATTTTCCAATTTCAGGTTCATTCGCATTTCATCTCTGGCTTCTACATTTTATTTAAAAAGCATTCCCCTATTTGCTATTGTCCACTAAGGAAAATGCCTGTTTAAAAAACAGGATTTCTTTTTTAAAGCATCTTCATTCACACATTTCAAAGCTCTTCAGAAAACACGATTTCTCAAAAGCCATGTCATTCTAAAACATGCTACAGATTTCACATGGAGAAAGAGCAAGCTATTATTCTACACAGTCTTTTCAATAAACTGATGGCATCTGTCTAGGAATCAGGAGAGTTGTCTTATTTCAAAAAAAAAAAAAATTCCAAATGAGAAAAAAAGAAATCTAGGCTTGAGAAGATCTAATGCCTTGCCACTGAAGCCAGGTTTGGGCACAGACCCCACATGCGTATAAGTAATAAAAAGAAACCTGAGAAAACAGAAGCTCTTCAACGTCCTTTGCCCTGTGTGTATCTTTAAGGCCAAACTGTAAAGAAAATAAGCATGTCCTTCCAGACCCAGCAAACATCTTTGCATTTTAAGGGTGCGCTCATGGTTTCTTCAGAAGCACTTCTGAAACACAAGGTAGCAAAGCAAACATAGTCACCCCATCATACAAATAATTTGTGTTTATTAGACACCAGAATAACTGAGTGAGACTTCCTCGGCTGTGATATAGAGACACCCACCAGCACGGAGAGAAGAAATGACATAAGCACAGAGCCACCAGAAGCCAGACCCAGGAAAGCTATGCTCCCACCACATCACTGCACACACACCCAACTTGCTGTTTAAAAATCAATTTAAACACTAACAATGACTGAAGAAGCCATTTGTTTAAAAAGGGAGGGGAGAGCATATTTTTTAAGGACCAAGTAACACTTTTTTTTTTTAAAGGAGCCAGCACCATACTCTCTTCTCTAATAGGATCACCTCTGGCAGTCTGGGTATATTTGACTGAGTTTATTGCAACTGCTTCTGCCAGTTCTTTGAACTACCAATCAATGGGGTGAGGTTTCTAAGCACACGAGCTACTACTCAGAAACACATGATAAACAGGGCAGCGCTGGAAAGGCATGTATTTGCGTGTGTGTGCATGCTTGTAGATGTCACTGCAGTTATGCAGATCCAGGAGGGAGTTTCTTAATGCCGTTTAATGGAATTCATTTGGGGTAAAAGGTATTATTTTGCCTAAAGAAATCTCTCCCTCGCAGGCCAGCTCCCAGACAGACTCTGCCACAGGGTCACCATCTGGGGACGTCTGATAGATCTGGGACATGCGATCGAAAGGGCCCTCCTCCTCGTCATCATTCACCGCGTTGGGCATCATGTGGATATAGGCAGCTGTGATTTCCTTCTGGAAGACGGTGTCCTGGTTGTAGGAGATGAGCTCATTGCTGATGTTGACCGTCTCCACCGGCGTGCGGGAGCAGAGGTGGTTGCACCCCAGCAGCTGGGCAAACACCTTCCGGAAGTCAGCGTTGAAGGCATAGATGATAGGGTTGAGTGAGGAGTTGGCCCAGCCAAACCAGACGAAGACATCGAAGGTGGTCTCACTGACGCAGGGGAAGCCTGCCGGGGGTCCTTCGGGGTGTCCACTGCAGAAAGGAACCATGCAGTTAAGGACGAAGAAGGGCAGCCAGCAGCACACGAAGACCCCCATGATCACCGACAGGGTCTTGAGCACCTTGGTCTCCTTCTTGATGGAAGCGCGCAGGCTGGTCTCCGGCGCGCAGGCGGCGCTGCTCCGGCAGCTCTGCGCGTGCTCCGCGGCCCTCTCCAGGGAGGAGATCCTGCGGATCTGCACCTGGGCGATGCGGTAGATGCGCGTGTAGGTCACGATCATGATGGCCACCGGGATGTAGAAGCTGACGAGAGAGGAGGAGATGGCGTAGGTTCGGTTAAGGCTGGAGTCACAGTTCTCTGCCCTCACGTCGGGCTCCCAAACGTCCTCCCAGGGCGTCCCGTTAGCCAGGTTGTTCGGCAGGTCCAGTCCGCCCCAAGAGCCCACCTGGTCCCTGTGCCAGTTGAGCTGGACTGGAATGAAGGAGATGAGGACGGACAAGGTCCAGGCCAGGCCGACCATGACCAGGGCCATGCGCTGGGTCATCTTGCGCTCGTAGCGGAAGGGCCTGGAGATGGCCCAGTAGCGGTCCACGCTGATGACGCACAGGTTCAGGATGGAGGCGGTGGAGCACATGATGTCGAAGGCCACCCAGACGTCGCAGAACGCTCCAAAGGGCCAGTAACCGGCCACCTCGGCGACCGCCTTCCAGGGCATGACCAGCAGCGCCACGAAGAGGTCTGACACGGCCAGAGACACGATGAAGACGTTGGTCATCTTGGCGCGCAGGTGGCGGCTCCGCACGATGGCAGCACACACCAGCACGTTGCCCAGCAGGGTCCAGATGATGAGTACGGTCAGCAGGCCGGCAGTGACCACCTGCGCCGGCCCCAGTGGCGGTGCCCCAGCCGAGCCCCCCAAGGCGTTTTCCTGCGCCAGCTGCTGGTGCAGCGCGAACTGCCCCGGGTACGCGGTGCCGTTGCTCCCCGGCGGCAGCATTTCTGGCTGGGCTGCAGGGGCGGCCTGTGCGCGGTCCCAACTTCAGCCCTGCGACCCTCGGGCAGCCCCATCGGGCACCCCGAGGATGCGCCCCCTCAGCCAAGGGACCCTCGAGCCCTGAGGGGCGCTCACCGTGAGCTGCGCCGGGCCCCGGGGCGCGCGGGGACTTCTCTCGCCGCCTGAAGCGCCTCTGGCTCGGTGGCCGCGGTGCGTCCCTCCAGTCTCGGCGCTGGGGACAGGAAGCCGCTGGTGCCCGCTGACGGCCAGGGCTGTTCTCTGGAGTTCGCAGCGCGCCGGGCGGCAGCGGCAGCAGCTATGTCGGGTTCGGAGCCAGAGAAGACAGCGAGCCGCCACTGAGTGGCTGGGGCAGGCAGCCGCGGGCGCCGGGAGCTGCGGTGCTGCCGCTGTCCCAGGCTGCTCCCGGGCCCCGCGTCCCGCCCCCAGCGCCTCCGCGCTCGGCTCTCTCGCGCTCCCGCCCTATCTGTGCCTTGGCGCTGTCGCTCCTCGCGCTCAGCGCTCCGGAGTCTAGGGGCGATCCCGCAGGTCCGAGAGGCGCCCCAGCGCCAGACCCTAGCCCCGGGAGAGGAAAATTCTCCCCGGGAAGACGGAATGGTGCTTGGAGCAGCCCTGGAGCCCTAGCCCTGGCCATGCTTGGGGAACAAGAGGCAGGGTAGGAAAGAGGACTCGAGGGCTTCCAGAGGGGAAAGAGCTTTTGCAGGGTAAAGGGGGCGGCCTTGGATTGCCCACAGACCTGAGTCCCAATCCGGACTTTATTCTTGGCTCTGCGACTTTGAGCGCCTTTACCCGGCCTTGGTTTCCTTCTCCGCGGCGTGGGATAATGATTCCTATTCCTGTGGCGATGTCAGGGGAAGCCGTCTAGGAAGAGGTGGCCAGTAGAAAGTGTCTCCTAGGAACAGGCTCCTGCTTCCCCTAGCCCCTCCCTCAACACCCTGAGGCTGGGGTTTAACCTGATCTCTTGGGAGACTCTCCTTTTCCCCACCACCGCCCCCAATCCTTGAGCGATCTTTCCGTTGGGGAATAATTTGGGATGAACCGAAAAGATCAGAGGAAGAAGAGAGCTCCCCAGAGAGTTGGAAGCCTCTTCTTTCAGGGCACTTTTAAGAGGGATGGATAAACAGCTCAGTGTTTAACAAAAAAGGAACTGAGGGCGCCCAAAACCCAAACTGGAAAAAAAGAATCGTGGAAAACAGTGAAGAGGGAAAACAGTATTCCTGAGCTCTGAGCACAACTACCAGCTGACAGTGGCATTTATGAAGCGTTTCTGCCTCTGCTGGTGTTAAGCTCAGCTGAAGGCAGCTGGGAGAGAAAGAGATGTGACAGCAGCCAGCTGCACAGCTCCGTCTGCCACCAGCTGGCCCAGACACCTGCAGCATGATGAGGTCTAGAAACAGACTGGACTTTCTCCTCCCTTCCTAGTCTCCCCCTCCACCAAACCCACCTGCACCCTGTACCAACACCTGCAAATGTCCCAGCTTCTCAGACATAGGCTGCTCAGCCGAAGCAGTCCCTTCCCCCAAACTCCTTCCCTTTTAGTGCTTTCTGCTGCTGGAGAGGGCAAGACTATCTGTCCAGGTGCCTAAACCTGAAACTAAAGAGTCATCCTCACCTGCTGTCTCTCCTCATCTTCTGGGAGCTGGACCACTCCTCTCACCACTGTTATCCCTGTCCAGAACTGTGCCTCCTCCACCCTGTTCGATGGTGGCACTCTCTTGGTACTCTCCTGCCCTGATCCTCTGTCTTCCCGGTAGGCAGTGATCTTTCCTGGATGTGACTATGATCATCTCACTCCCCTGATGAGACACCTCACTGTGTTTCACGATCACTCCCTGCGGCCCATGTTCCTGGCCAGGCATGCAAAGTCTTTTCCGCATCTTGCCCTCATCTTTGCCCACAGCTCCTGCTTCTTCTCCTGCCACCCCTTTGCATACAGCCTGGATTCAAGCTGCCACCACCATCGCCACCGCCTAAAAAGAACACCCATTGTAAATGGTCACGTGATAATTCCTCAACCTGGAATGACCTTCCCCCATCCTCTCCTGGAGAACACCAACTCATGATGTCAGAAAAGAACTTGGATTTTGGAGACAGGGGTTTGAATTCCAGTCATTCATTCTTTTATTCAGCAAATATTTAACAAGTATTTACTTGTCCCAGATGTTGTTTTACTCACTGGTTACACAGTGGGAGGCAGAGAGAGAGAGAGGGAGAGACCCTACTCTAAAAGTTTGAAGCCTAGATAGGCTTTAAGCCAGCAGTAATCCAAAGAAATGCACAATTACAAATGCGACATGGGCTGTGAGGGGAAGTTCACAGCCTTATGGAAGTGTACAATAGTTGGGGAGGTTGGCCAAGGCAAGATGTTTATGGAAGGCTTTCCTGGAGAAGTTTCTCTTTGGGTTGAATCATAGTTAAGTAGGCAAAGAGGAAGCCAGAGGGAAGGGAAGTATGGCAGACAGGAAGAATAGGCACTTTACCAGCTTTGGGATCTTGGGCAGGTCGCTTGATCTCTGTGAGCTTCAGTTTCCTCATCTGGGATATGGATTAATAATAGTCATTTAAAAAGTGTGATGAGACCAAAATAATTAATGCATGTGTTCAGAACCACCCATTTTTCTCCCTCTACTGTATCTGTGCACTTTCTTAACCTGGGCTGCCCTCCAGAAAGGATTCCATTCTGGCTTTTGTGGTAGTCAGAGAGTGGATGTATGATTAGATCTGAGAAGCTGGAGGAGGAAGGAATGGTCCCAAAAGGAAGAGACTGTGCTTGTCTTCACAATAAAGACCAGAGAAGTGGGGAGAGGGCCTGAAAACTGGGGGTGGAGTTTTGCAGGGAAGATTGCGTGAAAGAGGTGAGGGAACTGGAATCTGGGGAAAAGTGGATAGGAGATTAAAAGGGAATTCTAGAGAACGATCCCTACTGATTTCACAGAACTTAAGAAATGAAAGTAAAGGTCCACATATGGTGGCTCACACCTGTAATCCCAGCACTTTGGGAAGCTGAAGCAGGTGGATCACTTGAGATCAGGAGTTCGAGACTAGCCTGGCCAACATGGAGAAACCCTGTCTCTACTAAAAACGCAAAAATTAGCCAGGTGTGGTGGTCTGTGCCTGTAGTCCCAGCTACTCAGGTGGCTGAGGCAGGAGAATCGCTCAAACCCAGGAGTCGGGGGTTGCAGTGAGCCAAGGTTGCATCACTGCACTCCAGTCTGCTGGGCAGGAAAGCAAGACTTTGGAATTTAAAAAAAAAAAAAAAAAAAAAAAGGAAAGAAGGAAGGAAAGAAGAAAGGGAGGGAGGAAGGGAGGAAGGGAGGGAGGGAGGAAGCGAGGAAGGAAGAAAGGAAGGAAGGAAGGAAGGAAGGAAGGAAGGAAGGAAGGAAGGAAATAGAAATTCAAGTAAAGAATTTGAGTTTGAAAATTGCCTTTTGTCTACCAAACTTGAGCCTGCTTAAAGACTGAGCAACACGGATCTCTATAAGTTGTGCAATGTTAGAACCTCTCCATCCTTTAAGAGCCAGCTCAATCACTTCTCCAGAAAGACTTACTGAGTCCTCTGCACTGAGCAGGTGTCCTGCGCTCCAGGAGAGCACTGGGTTGGCTCCTAGTGTAGCTGTTATGACCCTAGACTGCATCATCCTTCACATCACCATCCGGCCTCCAGAATCCCAGCTTCTTAAATCAAGAAATTGTGTCTTGTTCATGGCTGAATTCCCCAAGCAAACACAGTGAGTGGGTGCTTGACAAATCTTTGCTGGTAATGAACGAAAAAGGGGATTTTGTGCCCAATACCATGTAATCAATGCACAGAAGATTCAATCAACCAAGAAAGGTACACAGACGCTGGCCACACACACTGACATTTGTTTTCAGATATTCCACTCCAGTCCCCCTGACTTCCACCAATCCATTCATTCATTCCACAAGCATTTCTGATGGGGTGGAGGCAGGGCCATACAGGGTGTGTAAGTCACCAACAAGGTGGGTTTGTATAATGAATATAAAAAACTTCCAGCAGAAGATGGTAAAGTGTATCAAGAAAGGGCTCTCTTCAACATCGCACAACTGCACTCCAGCTTGGGTGACAGAGGGAGACTCCATCTCAAATTTTAAAAAAAAGTGGGGGTGGGGGTGCTCTCTTTTTCTAATTAGCACAAGATTGTTCTGCGTCGGGTTCTGCTGCAACCATCTCTCAGATCCTAATCCTCATCTTTCTTGGGCTTATATTATTGAGGAGAGAGAGAAATAAACAATTTCAAAATAGTGTCATATAATGCTAAGCGCTATAAAGAAAATTGAACAGAATGAAAGAGACAGTAGCAAGGCTAGAGGGAAAAGCTACTTCAGAATGAGTTGTCAAGGAAGCCTCTTTGCAATCAGAAAGGTGACAAGGATTTAGTCAGGCAAATATCAGGGGTAAATCATTCTTGGAGGAAAGTAAGCCCAGGCAAAGGCCCTGGGGCAAATTGAGCTTATTTGATAAAGAGGTAAAAGGGTCAGGATGTCTGTAGCAATCGTGGCCAAGGGAAGGAGAGGTATGAGACAGAGGAGGTGAGCCCTGTTGCCATGGTGAGACCATGAGGATTTATTCTAAGTTCCGGGTACCTGGAGTTCAAGTCCCCTGAACTGGATGATAACTACAAGCCCTCATATCTCAATGCTACAGTCTTCAAGCCCCTGTTATATAAGAGTTTGGAATCTTCAGAGATGACAGGAAACACCAGAATGCTATGGTGGAGCATATCTAGGGGCCTTCTCCCAGCTCAGACCCTTTGACTGTAAAAAGACACAGGTTTTAAAGCTGAGATCCACAAAGCTCTAGCAAAGGCAGCACAAACACCAACCAATGACAGCAGGTGCTGCCTGTCACCCTCGAGCACTAGGCAGGTTCCAGAGCACCCTTGCTGCGCCGGCCTCTAATAATTGATTATAGGAAGGTCTGGGGTAGTCCCCAAAGCTGGGATGTCCAAAGTAGCTGGGACCAGTCAGGAGGCTCAGGGCAGTGGCAGGAAAATGTTTTCCTCCCGGGTAGAGCCACAGTGAGGTGTCCAGGCTGGATATCCGTGGCAAGAAGGACCATGGCACAGCGCCAAGACCTGGGGAACAAACCCCATTGGAGCTGAATCCAGAAAAACAACCTTTTTCTAATTCACTCTCCTGCCCCTCATGTAATCATTGTATTTTCGGGTGTACCTGGACTACTCTGAAACATTCAAAACATCCTTCATCACCTCCCCAACATGTGCGTCAGTCTTTGCTTCCTTTTTACTTGCTTCCACTTGCTCCTTGTGGCAGAGATGGCTCCCAGCAGATCCCTCCCTACATTTGCTGGGTTCCCTTGCTGTCAGGTGGAGGCTAGGGAGCCAGATTCTGGCCAATAGAATATGGGCAGAAGTGATGTGAACCACAGATCTGAGCCTTAGAAACATCCCACAGGATCCTGAGCTTTTCCTCCGGCTGCTGCAGTGGGCTTGGAAGCCACATGTGTTATAGAAGTGTACCTACAGATGGAGAAGGCCCATGTGCTAGTTAGTCTCCAAAGATGGTGCATCAGGCAATTCTTGCATTGCTATAAAGAAACATCCGAGACCGGGTAATTATAAGGAAAAGAGGTTGAATTGGCTCAGGGTTCTGCAGGCTTTACAAGAAGCATGGTGCTGGCATCTGCTCCGCTTATAGGGAGGCCTCAGGAAGCTTACAGTCATGAGCAGGCACATCACGTGGCCAAAGCAAGAGCAAGCAAGAGAGTCGGCAGGTGTGGGACAGGACATGCCACATACTTTTAAATGACCAGATCTCACAAGAACTCACTATCTTGAAGACAGCACCAAGCCATGAGGGCTCTACCCTCATGGTCCAAACAACTCCAGCACTGGAGATTGCAATTTAACATGAAATCTGGGTGGGGATCGATAACCAAATTATAGCAGAGGGCCTCCCCTGGAACCAGACCCCCTGGTTTCCAGGCGCCTCCCATACTGCTTCTGGGCTGGTCCCCTGGGAAGCCAAGAATGCAGTGGATCTGATTCTGCTTGGGGGCTGAGGCTCGGCCATGAGGGGGCTTGCAGCTGCCACTTTGGTCTTTTGGAACCTTTGCTCATGAGAGTCTCCCTGCTGGGCCCCAGCCACCATGCTGTAAGAAGTGAAAGTCATGTGGAGAGGCCACGTGGAGGTTTTCTGGTCTAGAGCACAGCTGAGCTCCCAGAAGACAGCATCAATGGCTGGCCATGTGAGCCAGCTGGCATGGGCACTCCAGACCAGCCTGTCCTTCTGTCACCTTAGCTACAGGGAAGGCCCATGACTCCAGAAATGCCCATCATTATGCTGAATGCCCTGGCCTCAGTGGTCCACAAGGTGTGGAAGCATGTCCCACAAGGCTCAGACAGCGTTCTGGCCGGGATTGATGTGTAGATGCTGGTTTTCTTTCTGCTGAGTGGCTCTGCTGTGATGTGGTGGGCCTCAGGTTTCCAGGGTTTCCAGGTGGTCATTTTCCTTATTTGCAGTAGAAGGAATAAGGCCCATATAGAGAAGAGAGCAAATTACAGGGAGAGAAAGAGAAAGAAGTAGGGAGAGGGAGGAAGAGAAAAAGAAGGAGGGAGGGAAGGAGGAGAGGAAAGAAAAAGAGAAGAAAAAGGAGAGGGAAAGGAAGAGAAGAGAAAGAGAAAATGACTTCTTTCAACCTCTACCTTCAGTGACACCATGGTCTTCACAGTCACAGAGTCAGTAAGTCACCCTTTAGCTGAAACGTGTCTACGTGGAGTTTCCATTGTCACTCACATCTGACAAAGCCCTGCCTAGCACACGGAATAAAGCATGTTCGGCAGTGGCATGAGAACAAGGGACTGCCTGGTTGGTGGGCGGCATGGGAAATGGCTGTCCAGAAGATGACACTTGGGCTGCAGGGCAAAGTGGAATTCACATCCTGTGGGGTGGAAGTGCGTCCCTAACAGAGGGAACAGCGTGGGCAAAGGCTCAGAGGTAGGAAGCTTTACATGCGAAAGTATACATTTTTAGAACACTAAAGAGTCTCCCTGTTATCCAAAAGATTGAGTTTCTTATCATTTTTTGGCCAGGCGTGGTGGCTCACACCTTTAATCCCAGCACTTTGTGAGCCAAGATGGGCAGATCACCTCAGGTCAGGAGTTCAAGACCAGCCTGGCCAACATGGTGAAACCCCATCTCTACTAAAAACACACAAATTAGTTTGGTTTGGTGGCAGACACCTGTAATCCCAGCTACTCGGGAGGCTGAGAGAGAAGAATTGCTTGAACCCAGGTGGCAGAGGTTGCAGTGAGCCGAGATCACACGACTGCACTCCAGCGTGGGAGGCAAAGTGAGACTCCATCTTAAAAAAAGATCAAGTTTCTCATCACTTTTGGAAACTGAGAGTTTCTCTATACCCATAAGACCTTATGATGCAAAATAGAAAATAATATGCAGCTAGGACTCCACAGCCTTCAGTCTTCCCCGGGGAGGGCTCCATGAGCTGCTTGTCTGGTGGGGATGGTGGTTCCTGTAAGCCTCTTATCCAGGCTCTTTCCCACAAAGGGTTGGGCAGAGTGAAAAACTACTGGGAACCAAGATATCTCTCTGACATTGGCTTGTCAGAGCTCAGCCTCATCAGAACAGACTTTAACCAACTAAGCGGCTAATAAACTCCAGCTTCATTTCTTCCAGCCAGAGCCCTGATCTCAGGGGCTGACAGCAAGGAAATGGTCCTTTCAAACACCTGGCTCCTGCAACATTGTACTAAGAGGATTTAAAAAAAAAAATTTAGCACAGTTTTAGCACAGAGCGAGTTTTCCTAATCCAGTTAGCGAATATTCTTCTGTTTGAACTCACTGTCCCTCCTTTTTCTGAAGATGTATTTTAAATTGGATTTGCTTCACTGAGAGAAATGGCAAAATGGATAAGAAAAGGGGTCGGATTTTGCTGCAGCCATTGCTGGTATCAAAAGACGACTCAACTCTGTCTTACAGCAAGAGAAGCTCTGTTCGTGGCTGCAGGACACACTCTGAGCTCCCGGCCACCAGCCCCGCCGATGCATCCAGCTTGACACAGGGCAGGGAACGTTGTGTATGTGGGGAAAGGGCAGGTGGAAAGGCCCAGGTGATGAGCCAGCCACCTCATCTCTAGCATAGGCCCCTGATGGTGGCCCTAAAGCCTCCTCTCGAAATCCAAAGCTCAGCTCCCCAGTTCAGGAGCAAGGAGGTTTCTGGCACGTTAAAATGGCTAACTCAGCCAGGCACAGTGGAGGCGTTGGAAATAACCAGCCTGGAGCTGAGAGGTCAGCTTGAAAAGCAGCATTCGGATGCAGGTGGGCCCTTGGCTGTGAATTCAGCCCATGGTCTGAATGAGCATCGTGCATCATAGCACTTGTCAATTGCTGGTGGGCTCCAAGCTGAGGGAATGTGCTTGTTCAGGGAAGGGCACACTCCCCCATTTCTCCCCGAACCACGCTTCTGCCTTGGGACCCTACAGACACAAGGGCCCTCCCCTTGCCCTGTTGCTTCGTGTGGCTTAGTCTTGCTTAACGAACCTGCTAAGTGTGGAGGCTGAGGCCTGCATGTAGGGGAAACAGGGACCACCTGGAAATGGTGAAAGCACTTTGTTAAAGTGGTGCCTTCCCATCGCAATTGCCAGGCCCATGATGAGAAGACATTGCAGGAAAGCAAAGCACGACTCGGACTGTAGAAAAAGATAGATCAATAGATGGGGCTTTATGTGGTTATCCCACCACCCCAGGCTGCTGACCCCACCCACACTCAAGCTTAGCCCCTGTAGCTTAGAACCCAAGGGCGCTTCTGAGCTGAGGCAGATTTCAGGGAGTACTAGTTAGGATAGGTCAGCTGCAAGTAACCAACCAACAAACCAAACACACAGCAAACTCTGGCCCTCAGGGCTAAATCCAGCCCACCACCTATTTTTTTTTTTTTTTTTTTTT